CACTCTGTCGCCCAGGCTGGAGTGCAGTGGCGTGATCGGGTTCATGCCACTCTCCTGCCTCAGCCTCCCGAGTAGCTGGGACTACAGGCGCCCACCACCATGCCCGGCTAATTTTTTGTATATTTAGTAGAGACGGGGTTTCACCGTGTTAGCCAGCATGGTCTCGATCTCCTGACCTTGTGATCCACCCACCTCGGCCTCCCAAAGTGCTGGGATTACAGGCGTGAGCCACCGCCCCTGGCTAGAATATGTTTTTTAAAAATTGTTTCTAGCATAAGTTATAAAACCAGAAACCAACTTTTAATGTAAGTTCACAAGGTTATTCCATAAAAGGTAGGTTGTTGAATACATACGTTTGTGTACATATGTGCATGTGCGTGTGTGTGTGAATGTGTGTGTATGTATCCTCCAGGATTATTTGATTACTCTTCTCCACTGCCAAGTCGTATTATAATTCAAATACCCACATGTCTCTTAGAAATGTTTAATATCATTTACATGTTTACATATCTTTCTCCTTTATTTCCACTTACTTTACGTTGGATACTATTTTACAATTCATAATATATTGCAGATTATAGTAAAAATAACTGCTCTCTATAAATCCTCAAATGATCATTTTTCACTGTAGCCTTCAGGAAAATGTGCACATGTGGAAATGGTTAAAAATATGATAGTGTTGGCCAGGTGCGGTGGCTCACGCCTGTAAACCCAGCACTTTGGGAGGCTGAGGTGGGTGGATCACGAGGTCAGGAGATCCAGACCATCCTGGCTAACATGGTGAAACCCCATCTCTACTAAAAATACAAAAAGAAATTCACTGGGCACGGTGGCGGGCGCCTGTAGTCCCAGCTGCTCGGGAGGCTGAGGCTGGAGAATGGCCTGAACCCAGGAGGCGGAGCCTGGAGTGAGCCGAGATCGCGCCACTGCACTCCAGCCTGGGCGACAGAGCGACTGGGCGACAGAGCGAGACTCCGTCTCAAAACAAAACAAACAAACAAACAAACAAAAAATATGATAGTGTTTGCCATTGAATCAGGAAGCTCTCTGTGTCAAGTTGGCAGTTATGGTTGCTTTATAACAGGCTATTTGAGTGCTCAACATGCCCCTCCAGTCTGGAGGGCTGATAGGTTCTTTAGGAGATTTAATATCAAAGAAAGAGGGACCTGGGAAAAGTCTAAACACAAAGCAGTAGCCATATCCCTCTGGCACAGCCATGTTAACACTGTAAACTCCTTGGAGCTTCTATGTGCTTAGTGTTCCTGTGTTTCTCCTATAAAGACCATAGTCTCCAGAGACTGTCCCATGGTGGCCAGTCAAATAAGATGCCAGGGATACCAATAAAATATGTAGTTTACTTTCAAAATCAAAAAGAAAACTGATAAATGAAAATTAATTTAATGTAGACAAGCTATCCGAAATTTAAGAGAAAAACATTTCAAGCTCTTTTTCTAAAGCATTATTTTTCTCATTCTTTTCTCTTTCTGTTCCTCGGAGAGCATAATTTCAATTGACCTATGATGAAATTTACTGCTTCTTTCTTCTGATATCCATATCTGCTGTTGACCCCTATGTAATCATTTTTAACTTTAGTTGTTTTTTACAACTCTAGTTTTTAAATATTTTTACTAACTTAATTCTTTCTTGAGTTATTGTTGCCATGCTTTTATAAAGGTTCTTCAACTATCATTTCCTTTATTGCTTGATATTTAAAATGACTAAGTTCTACTTATTTCCTTCTTTAGTCAAACATCTGTTACCCCTCAGGAAAGCTGCTGCTGTTGAAATTTTCCCCCTCTGTATATAAACTATACTATCCTGTTCCCTGTGTGTCTTGTATATTTTTTGAATACCGAAAATTTTTATATAATATAATGTGTCAGTTGTAAAAATTGGCTTCCTTTCTATCCTCAGTAATGTTTCAGTTGTTTTGTTGTTGCTACTTTTTGTTGTTGTTGCTGTTATTGACCTTCTTAGATTAATTCTATTAATTACATAAAGTATTTATTTCTCATAGTGTGTGGACTCACAGTTCTCTCTTTGCTACCTCAGTGATTCACTAGTAATTATTCAGAGATCTCCTTAAATATCTTGATCCAATAATTTTTCTACTCTTTGCCAAGGGAATCCCTGTATGGTGGTATAGCACTCCTTCAACATTTTGGCAGCTTACAACTTCATCTTAGACTTCATGTCCCCTTGTGCATGTCCTCAAGATGACCCAGACATGAGAGGTGGAGACACTTGCAGGTCTTTCCTGGCTATATGCACAGCCCTGAACATGCCCATTGCCTTGTAAACTACAAGGAATATGTCAGAGCTTTTCAAAATTTTCTATGGAGATCTCATTTCTAAAGTCTTCCTTTTAAGTTTTCAGCCAGACTCTTGTTTGCCCCAACTAGTATTACAATATCAGACAACATCAGACAAATGTGATGCAAAACAATCAGGCAACTGTGATGTTAAGCAATTGCCTCTGATTGTTCTTAGTAAATGCATTGGTGATAGGCTTTCTTGCACACAGTGAGCTGAGAATCAGATCAAAGGACAATGCACCTGAGTGTTTTTTTGTTTGTTTGAGGAGCTAACAGAGGTCTAATAGTAATAATGCTTGAGATGAGGAGAATTTTTGTGGAGTTCCAATACTGCTCTGCCCCTTTTGTTGACCATATGCCTACAAGTTTTTACAGTTACTATATTTCTGAAAGTGATGGTTTTCAAGAATATTGCAGTATTTCTTAGAGGAATTGAAGTAAGACAAATTAAAATGTTGCAAGTACTTCCCTTATTATTAAAGCTTAGCAGTTTTCTTTTGAATAAATGGTCCTCAAATTTTTGCTAGTTTTTGCTTAAGTTCCAGGATTCTGAAAATATTGGTTTTAATATTGTTACTGGTGATTTTTAAATTATTTTATAAATTAGTAGATTTACCAAGATATAAGTGCTTTTTCAGAAGTCATTCCTCACTCACCTTAATTTATGAAGCATTTTTCCTTTAAACATATAGACTAATAGAATAAATTTTTATTAAAAATTTAAAAATATATTACTATGTTTACTGAT